TGTTTTTGGGTTCTGTCTCCTGTCTTGGATGGTTGCTTTGTATTTATTGTTGAATATATAAAATACATAGTTTCAAAACTCAAACTATCTAAAGTTGTTCTATTGCCTACACATATTAGTATTTATTACAATTTGGAAAAAAATAGTGCTAAGGTATAATATTATTAAATATAAAAAGTCCTCTAGATTTTCTATAATTAAGTCTTTTTATTTTCATTTGTTTGTTTCTTCAGCAGTAAAAACAAAAGCTCTGCCAGATATAATGGTATAATGCACAATTACCATTTATTTTCTCTTTCCAAATTTTTCAGCAATCGAACATAGAGGCTCTAAAATCTGGGATACAAGGTAAAATTCCTGCAAACCAGTTGGCCAAATTGTGGTTGAAGCTGATAGATGAAGTTGTAGAAGACACAAGGTACAGTGATCTTATTCTCACTTCAACATTCCCAGCCATACCCTCCTCCCTAATTCTGACTCAAACAGCCTGTAGAATCATCTCAAGTATTTGTTTGAAAAATGAATTTGAACTGTTTGGACTCCTTAAAAGGCCCTCCCTAGGAGAAGTCTCTGAATCACCATCAGGAAAAACTGCTTTCTGATTTGGTGCCAATGCTGAAGTAGACTCCAAAGGCCAAAGCTCCACTCCAGGAAGCAGACCCAGGGCTTCCTGGGGTGCGGTGGGGTGGGATAAGGAGGCAGAAAAGGGGGAAGCAGGCTTGTGCTTCCTCTTCTCAGCAACCCACGGGTGTCCACTGCTTTGAAGAAGGTGACTCTTGGAACCTATAGTGAATGGGGTCTGGGAGAGCAGCATCGGTTTTACCATTCAGAACAGTGTTCCTAATGCATAAACATAGTTTTAGAAATGTCCTTTTCACTCACTTTTTTACTGAGTGCCTGATGAACTCTGGCCAAACCTCTGTTAGGCAAAGCCAATAAATATGTGTTGTGTCAGAGGATCTTTCATAGCTGTGACTTGGGGAAACAGCTCAGATCTTTTGGCATTTGGAAACCAAAGGGGGAAGTGAGTCATTCCAACACCATTTTTAATATTGGCTGATAAAGAAGTGGATGGGGAAGTTCAAGCAGACCGAGTACTTTCCATAGGCAGCACGAGCCCTGAATGGTTTCTTTCCCTCTCGGATACTGCCCTAAGTCACACTGTCTTCTTGTGCCTTCTAGCGGTTTAGCCAGGTCATTGAAAAGCAGCTGAAATCAAGGTACTGCTAGGGCACTTGTTCGTGTTGAGAGAATTTGAGAACTGGGTCCTAAGGAAACATCTCTGAGCCTCCTTTCTTAAAGACAAGAAAACAGAAGCCCAGGGAGGTGAAGCGATAAACGGAGTTAGATTCACCAACTCAGCCTTCTTCTTCATGGTTCACAGGCAACATCTGTTTACCAAAGGTCCCACACGTGTTTTTTGAACTAACAGCTTTCATGTATAGTTTTGCCTAACAGAATCACTCTAGGACCTTACCTCTTCACATGTAGTGCCATAATTGTTAATGAAACTGAACAGAAATATTTTTTCTTTTTTTTGAAAAGAAATATTTAGTAGTAACTTTCATGTAAAAATGAGTGTGAATTTTAAAATTTGCTTAGCAAAGCACAGATGGATCTACTTACACTGCTGATCTGAGCTGTTTCTGAAGAATCAAGTAGGAATGCTTTTAAACTTTAGGAACAGCAAATTCAATGTTTGAGGGAATTTTAGGATTTCCTTCACGCACGGAGTTGGGCGAAATTCAAATCAGTGGAATTTCTAGGTGGGAACACTGTGAGTAGAACTTCCTGGAGTTGGTGATAGCCACCCACTGTGGTCCCCGCCATTGCTATAGTGAGAGGAAAGGGCTTTGGATCCCAGCTCAGCCATCCTCTGATGTCCTTTTGGATCCTGTCACTGGACTTCCAGGGTCTCATGTGAAAGGAGTTTGACCGGCACAAGTGATTCTTACTCCTTTTGGAGCTCACTGCCCTTTGGAGAATCTGATGAGATGATGACAGTGGTGCGGACGGGGATGAGATGATGATGATTACATCGGTGTTACTTGGACTTCACTGTGCAGGGTTGTTGGGAAAAGTCCATTAACAGGGAATAACCCTAAAAAGTGAATATTATTTTCCCACCTTTGAAGATAGGAAGAGATCACAGATCTTAAATGGTGGAGCCACAAACTGACCTAAGTAGTTATTAGGTCAGCCTACATGTCCACACAGACACCTGTGCTTTCCTTTGTAGGTTATGGAGATTCACAGATCTCCTGAGGCCCGCCTTTAGACTGCCTAAAGGTTCAAAGTCCTAAGGTTAACGCTTCAGCTACACGATCTCTAACCCCCTGCCCCATCATTTTGTGGATCCATACAAAGACTGTAAGAAGCAAATGAAAGACATGCCGGTTGCTCTCTGCTATCTCCTTCTTCCCAGTGACTCTGTGGGCCTTAGTCTACCTAAGGCATAAGTCAGACTTTTAGCCCCTTTTCTGCTTTGCCAATGCAAGAAACACTCAAATGCATCTTAAAGCAGGCAGTGCTTGTACAATCACTTAGGAGACGATTGATGTGATTTGAAGATGAAAACCAAACATAACTGAATTTGACAGTTTTGGAACTTAGAATGGTCTTCCTTTCTTTCTCTTTCTTATCTTTTTTTTTTTTTTTTTTTTCAGTT